GCACACCCCGCACACCCCGCGCACACCGACACCTCCATCTATCAAAACCCTAAAGCGATCGAACCTAAATCCGTCGACTACGTGGATTGTATAGAAGATAAATTAGCACCACTAGCTCACATCGACGAGGAGTCCGGCGACAACATCTATGCTATCATAGAGGAAAGTCCGGAAAAACAGTCCAAACCCTTACCTGGAGTACCTCCTCCTATAAAAACTATCCCCCAACCGCCCCCCGTAGGTTACAATACTCCTAAACCTATCACTTCCACTTCTGGAAGTACGGAAAGCGTCGGGCTTCTAGGAGAAATTGTCAACGAGATTCAAAATCGTAACTTCGACTCCATATATTCCGCCTCGACTTTGTCGAGAAAGAAAGAGAAGGAGAGAAAAGCAAAGAACGCCGAGAATAAAAGAGACAGCACGTATATGAATACCGACCATTATAAAACGCCGGAGAGTGTTTACAGCAATTCCGGTGCTAAGTCCAGCTCGGCGTCCACGACCAGTAGCGGGTACCTTCATCCGTCAGCAGTTAATGTTCCTACTTACATGAAAGAAAAGGAAAACAACAACGAAACGAAGGAGACGGAGAGAGCGCCCCCGTCTCCCACTTTAAAGGCGAACTCAAAAATACCTACATTCTCGAGACAAGTCACACCTCCCGGTCTGAAAAACACTAGCACATTTAAAAACGTACCTCAATCGCCGAAAAATACAATCAAAAACGCAAATATAGCTCCCAAAATTATATCCAACAGTCCAGATTTAGTATCGAGTTGCGCAATTGATACAAAAAATATTAAAGCGCCTGATGTTATAAATAACAACAAAACAATCGAACCGCCTAAAGTAGCTACAAAACCTATAGTTCCAATTAAAACTGCTGATAACCGACCACCTGTAAAACCAGCGCCGACAATAGACAAAAAGACGACAAACAAAACAGCACCAACAACAACAAAAACAAATCCATCCACAAATATTAAAATAACAGAAAAACCTAATATAAACCGCGTACAGTCTAAAGTAGACTCTAACGTCAAAACTATAGCAGACCATTTGAATAAAAATAAACCTAAAGTAGTACCAAAACCTAGTACAATTAATGTTCAAAGAACCGATTCTAACCTTAAAAATAATGCAACAAAATTGTCTTCGAAACCGTCTAACGTAGCGAGCTTACAGCAGAAATTTGAAAATAGAAAGTCGTTGGGGAAAGAAATTAATGTTTCCAAAAAGTAAACGAACTTTCGGTATGAACACGTACCAAGACATTTAAAATTAAGAGACTGATAATTCCATAATAAACGTAAACTAAGGTAATAAACGTAAATATACAAAAAAACTAACGTTCGATGACATTAAAACAAAACATTACTCAGCGTCAACTCATTCATTCATTTTGAAAAAAACTGAGAAAAAAGTGTTTTTACATATTGCTAACACTGCCCTCTATAAATGGACAGGCTATAATCATTTGACATTCGACATTTTGGCACTGATCCTTGTAGTAGGTCGCGGTATTCGAACTAATAATAGTCTATAATAAAAGTTAAAATTTAGTCGCAACGAACCAAAACTGTCATTCCAAATCGCCTATCCAGTAATACAGATCAGTGATTGCAGTCTTTAATAAGAAATTTAAAAAACATGCTCATTGGCACTACTTACCGGACCAGTTTACTTTCATAAGTCAACCAATTGAGCGTTTAATTTTAAAGTTAAAAAGTCTAGTCTCATACATTATTTTCCTTAACAATACTCATTAAAGCGACCAATTATAACGATTAAAATTTACTAAAACAAAAGTAAGAACAATAATTTAGTCATTTCATCATCCCAATATCAGCTATAAAGATTACTTAAATTATTTCTTGTTTTCGTTTACATTCATTATTTAAAAAAAAAATGGAACATGGTGCGATACAGCTGTAATGAAGTGTTCATTATAAAGGCATCTAATATTATCTATGTAATTATGTATAAATTTTTATGTTTGCGTCTATAGTTATAAATGGTATATTATATCTGAGATGAACCTAGATTGTAAGATGACATGTAAATAATTTCGTTTTGAATTATTCGATAGGTAAAATTGTATGTGTATTTTTATATAAATTATATTATGGCTTAACCAAGAATATAAAAATCCTGCCCTGGAGACGCTATATTTATCAATCACTTTCTAACGCGCGCAAAAGAATTCGTTTAATTATTTCGCAAGATGGCGGGAGATTTTATATTTTTAGTTAACCTATAAGCAACTACGCTTGATGGAGTGTATTCAAATAGCATTTATAAAACAAAACCATATTAGAAGAGTCGTATTAATAAGCGTTAAACAGAATGTTAGTAATATTCGACTGTTGTGACACTTGTATACATATCAAGTACACTTGTCTACCTATTGTGTACAGTTGTATACATTTTGTCTACACTTGTATACATTTTGTCTACACTTGTATACATATTGTGCATAAAAGCTTCACTGCAGTCGACGTCCACAGTTAATCTGGTGCTAGAATATTATTTTCGAGATTTCCATAGTTAATATTAGCTTAAAATATTTTTATATTTATAGAACAAAAGTTTTTTTTTTCTAAGGTAATATGGCAATAATTTATGATACATACGTCCGACAGCACTATTTTGGTACAAAACTAATGGTGCTGAATGTCCCAATTAAATAATGGAAGTTCATAGTCAAGTATAATGACAGAAATCGACAAGTATTTATACAATTTGCTGTCTCCATTTTGTCACCAAGTATGTAAGGGATAACAATATTTATTATTAATAATGCTGCCTTTGCAGTCGACTGTGTACATCACATCTACAGTCATGGAGATCTAATACAACGAACCATAGAAGTAATAAATAAATTCAGACTTATTCAACTATTAAATTATAGTTATTTGGTTTCATAGGGCTATTTTTCGAGGAATATCTGTTTCTAAAATAAATAAATATATTTAAGTATTACAAAGAAAAAGAATAAAAACATGCTTCGTAAAATAATGTCCTTCTAAACTTTCTTACGGAATAAAGAAAATTGGGAAAGAAGGTATAATTGATAGTCTTTGAAAGATAGCCCTCGTGCTAATTTATGTATTTAATTTACCTAATTCCATTTAAAATTGAGTAAACAAGACTTCAAAATTATGCTCAATTTTGAACTTATTTTTAAATCAATTTAAACCATTAGCTTTTTTATTTACAGAAACGGTAGGTTACATAAAATTGTTAGAAAGTAATTTAGCTAAAATGTTTTCCAGCTTTTACTTTATGAAAATAAAACTTCTCTAGTATTTCATTACATATGTTTTCTATTAAATCTATTAGCTTCAACATATTGTCTAATTTAAGTATGGCAACATTTATTTTTCTGGTCAGATTACGAAATTTAAGAAAAACATAATTCAGACTTCTGGTAAATTGTGATAACCTAAAATGTCTATTGAAAAGTACATACATAATAATTATTGTAAATAGAACCAAAGAAATTGTATTTAGAGTTGTTCGAAAGTTTAAATGACTTTAATAGGATTTAAGTATACGAGTGACTTTTGTAATTAGGCTTTCATTTGGCAAGACTGTGGCACGCCTATGTTTATTTTTGCACATTTCATTTACTTTAAAGAATTTTAAGGCAAGCTAAGATTAAACAAGACATCAGAATAAAAGTGACTCTAATTAAAGTGTTTTATTAATTTACTAACCTATAATTCTGAGCAATTGATAATAAAATTGAAATCTAAGTAATAACTAAATATCCCTAAGCCTGTGGTGGATTTAGTTAAAATAAAACAACCATTTTTGGTGCACATTTATTCAGAAAAACTTAAAAACTAGTTTTTGACCTATGCGGTTAAAGTTTTCATTGGTACTTCATACAATTTTACCACAAAAAGTTTGAAACACATTTTTAATCACTTTCCTGCTGCAGTTGCAAGGGGATTTCTTAACACTAAGATGACAGAATCACCTCGGAGGAACATTTTCGAGATGAACTTATCCTTGTTTACGGCTTTGCCCTGAAACAGAAACATTTAAGAAATAGGTGCTGCATGTTGCTGGATAAGCTATGATCTTGTAATAGCACAAGCCATAACCCAGTGTTAGGCATTGAATACTTATTTTCTATTTTTATTAATAATACTTCAATTACCTTTCAAGGTCAACAATTTTGTTCCTACCACAAACATTCCACAGTTCTCTGTCTTAGACACAAACTAAGAGTTCTTAGTACAGTTAATATACCAAAATAAAGACAAATTCTTGCATTTGGCATTAAATAATAAGACTGAAGATATGACCATTGATAACTAAAACTGAGAGGTTATACAATTGAAGTCCTATTACGATATTAATAACCTTATTACCTTTTTTCCTTTACCAGTCCGAGGTACTTCGGTCCACATTTCTTTTACGTTTTCTAAGACCATGTTACAGTGCCGGTCGAAAGCTTTCACGCGTCCCAAAAGTTTCTTATTATTACGACAGTTTATTAATACTTGTGTGTTATTCTTAACAGACTGTGTGAGTACTGAAAGTGGGCCGGTACTAAATTCTTCTTCCTCAATTTTAGATAACTCCTCCAAAGTCATTTCTGAGCGTGGCTTGGTCGTCGTCGCCCTGAAAAATAATCATGTTTGTCATTTATGCTTATGAATATTGTAATTTCGTTTAAAAAATGGAACTTACATTCTGTCTTGGAAATTAATATATAAAGATATATGAATGAGAAGATGAAAAAACAATGCTTTTTGCTTAAAGGAGAAAAATTACAACCACACTTTTAGTTTACTTTTTTGACAGCACTCGCTGACTGCATAGATAACTATTTTGTGACAACAGAATAAAAATGATTGCAATGGTTATGGCAACATCTGAAAATCTTTAAAGGAAAAAAAACTCCTGATTCTTATAAATAAAATTTGTAACAGACATTTGGTTACATTTTTTTACGGTGTGTTTGGCTTTTAATTGCAAAATATTACATTTTAAAGAAATAACTTTTTTATCCAAAAACTGGGCGCAGAATTGTGCAGAAACGAATTAAAAGTAATAAGAAATGTAAATAAGAAATGCTGCCAATGCTGAGGCAATGCTTTTTAAGTAGTGCTACTACCCACCGTACCGTTGATCTCATTCCAATCAGACAAGGCTTTTTACTTGATATGCAAAAATATACATTGGCAACACTTACCGTTGCTTCTGTTTTTCTCAAACTTACTATGATTGCGGGGGAATCCTTTGATATCCAAATTGCAGTAGAATGTGAACGTCTTTCTTCACTTTTTTAGTTACAGTTATCAGTTGCGTCTAGAAGTAACTAAAGCTCCTAAAATATAAACGTTTCCTGAATTGTTTCTCCGTATTTGTAACAAGTAAGTACTGAGTACCTACTGTATAATTTGTGGTTGTTTCTTTTGTTTTGTAGAATCACAAACATCGTCATTCTACTGTTTCCTGAATCAATTTCTGTACTTATTAGTGATCCGAGTTATTTTACAAAATATTTTTTACTATTAAGTATGTTTTACAATAATCCTGTTGTTCTACATTTATGAATTATAAGCTTAATTTGTGTAAAGTGAAGATGTTGTGTCCTATCTTAACCCTATTAATGTTAATTTATCTTCAATCCTTTATGTTATCCCAGGCTTATTATTTACAACTAATTTAATACAATAAACCCAAGGCAGAACTTTGTGCAAAGTTTAATTTAACATTACATTGCCTTAAATATATTTAAGAGAATAATTTCGCATTGCAACTACCTCTTTTTTATTACTTTATTACATCATGTTTACTTAGTAATTACATTAGTATTAAGCCAAAATAGTGTGCAGTGTATTTATCAAATTCTTAATGTAATTAGGAGAGCAATAATTTAACACCATACTTAATTTTAACATTAGTTTCAGAATAATAATACAAGTAACTATCAATTATAAAAAATAATTAAAAATACATGTGTTTATGGATTTAAAAGCCAATATTTTTAATAGAAAGTGATGGGTGCTACCTCGCTACACTTGTTAACATTTTTACTGTTGCATACCATCATCATCTCCCCTGCCTTATTCTACTCCCGCAGGGTCCACGCACCGGGTTTTCGTCCTCCAAATAACTCTACCTCCCTTCTTGATCATGTCACCATGCAATCCATCCATCTCTTTCTAGGTCTACGTCTACCGGTGTACCTCCACATTCATAACCAACATCCTTCTTGTTACATGCGATTCCTCCCTTCTCATAACAGTAAAAACAGTAATTTTGTTAATGTTGTCTTAAAACATAAAACAATATAACTAATATTTGTATTTCATTATAAACAATGAAAAATTTAATAAATTAACTAATTATTTTTTTGCCTTTAAAGTATGCCATAGTCTTATACAAAAGTTTTTAATAAGCTAGCAAGTATTTGTATGGCATAGTTCCTCCTTCATCCATAACAGTCATTCATAGGTTTTATTGACTTTATTTTAATTTAGCTTGGTATTAATGGTGAGGTTACCGGAAGAGGAGCGCTAAACTGACCCCATTGCACAAACATCAGTTGACAACAATCTATAATACTCCTGTCAACCCTTTTTGAATTAGTATGTACATTTATATCAATGCCACCTTTTATTTATTCCAGTGTAAACAGCTTAGGACCGGGATCTTTGTTGTTTTATTTATACTTTTATGTCATTTTAGGCGAGATACCAAAAATGTTGTCTACATTGAGTGCTAGCGGCGTGTTCAGCAGCTGCGTGGACTACTTCTGTCTGGTGTGCGAGTCTCGGCTCAGGGACGAAGCCGACGCCGCAGCGCACGTCGCCAAGCCTGTGCACACCAAGAACTTCCTCACTACTGAGTACTTCGGAAATGAAGAAGAGTGCGTGAGAAAGGTAAGCGTACATCGCATTCGTCGCCTGTCGCGTTGCGTACGAGCACGCGTATGTGTAATGGTGTGTTCCGTTGTAGATAAAGAAGTGGTATCTGTGCGAGTTGTGCAACGCGCTGCTGGCGACTGCGGGCGGCGTGCGGCTGCACGTGGCGGAGGCGCGGCACGCGGAGCGGCGGGCGGGGCGCGTGCTGCGGCGGCGGGCGGGCCGCGTGCTCGCCTTCGCCAGCGTGCAGCTCGGAGACAGCGCGTGGAATGGCATCGTCGAGGACACGTGCGCCATCTGCAACACAGAGTTCGACGACGAACACATTCACAGGAACGAGACTACACACATATTGAAGCTCATTCAGAGTAAACTCGAATATGACGAAAATAAAAACCTATATCGTCGGGTATGTACATTTTTAGAAATAAATTGCTAATAATTTTTTTTATTTTACAAACACCAGCTACAAAATATATGTTCTACCCAACAGTATCCCTGTTGGAAGAGAAGTGTAATAACTTCCAAATTCGCAATTTTCATTTGTTAAAACTAACTTTTTGAGTATTAACCACATCTTTAAATTAAAATTAATTTATATTTCAGGTTGATGAGTCTTCTTTCCATTGCTTAACATGTAATATGGTGTTCGCTTTAAACTCTATTGATAAACATTTCAATGACATCGAACATAAAAATCTCTATAAACGTTGCTGCGATGATTATAAAATTGCTGAACTTACTGCAACCAGCGAATTAATTGATAGTACTAAAAAAACGGAAAACAATAACTGTGAAGAAAAAGCTGTAACTCAAGATAAAAATGAAACAAAACCCACAGAATTAGACTCGACTGTTAAAAATAAAATACAGATCCAAAGCAATGAAAAAGCAGAAGTAAAAATATCAACTATAAGCTCTGATGATTCTAAAACCAAACAAAACATTACAAAGGAGAATGTCAAACAAACAGATCCTGTGAAATCAATCCCAATAGATGATTCAGAGATATGCGAAATTTTAAATGCAAAGTATTATATAACATCAGATGAGAATGGAAAGGCTTGGTGTATCTTATGTAATTGGTTAATGGACCCATTTGCTATAAACAATCATATAAATGATCTTCACCATCAAACAATGTTGAAAATGCATAAAAAACGCCTTTCAACTCTTAATGCTGAGAAGAAATTAACTGATAAATCACACATTGTAAACAATGAAAATGATTCTATGAAAAATAAAGAAAACGTGGACAAAGAAAGCATTTTAAATGCCATTGAGAAATTCCAAAAAAATAATATTAATATAAATTTTGAAATTGAAACCGCAGTCTGCAAGAAGTGTTCAAAGCAATTAGATTTCAATTACCAAGCTATTGAGGATCATATTAAAGAACATGCCCAGAATAAAAACAAAAAGAATGATGGTAAAGGAATCCAGCTTACATCTGGTTTGGAATTCACAAAAGATGTGGAATCAGCTAATAAAGAAACATGTTTATACACAACACCTGTTAAATTTACAAAAAAAGAAAAACAGGAAAAGGTAAAAGATACACATGTTTCAAAGATAAAAAAGGAATCATCCCCTTTGGATATCAATGAATTGGAGAAGTATGCAAAGCAAAATCATATGACATACATATTTAATGAAAATAAAGTTCACTGCAACAAATGTGATATTGACTTAATTCCATCGATGAAAATAGTAAAAGAACATGTCGGTGGGGTAGATCATAAAAAATCGAAAGAAGAACTTGCACAAGTGAATGCTATATCAAAATCAAAACAAATTGACAAGGAAGCTAATTTTATTAAAATACCAACAAGTTCATTCATTCTGTCTGCGGTCTCTGTTGATTCGTTACAAAAAGTAATTATCATCAATGATAAAATATGTATCCATATGCTGAGTATAGTATTTATGGTTAAACAAAACGAAAGTTTAAAATGTTTCGTATGCGATTGTAATGTATCTTTTCTAAATTTCCACAAACATTTAGATACACCTAAACATGAAGCGGCAGTTGACAAAAGTTTGGTGTTAGTTGAGATGGAAAATGAATTTATAAGAGAGGTAGGTCTAATAATATAAAAAAGTTTTCTGACCCTACACAACTTACTATACTAATATTATAAATGCGAAAGTTTAGATTGATGGATGGATGGATGTTTGTTAGCGTTTGTAGCCTAAACGGCTGAACGGATCTCCATGAAATTGGCACAGGTTTAGAGCATAGTCTGGAAGAATACATAGGCTACTTTTTATCCCGGGAATAGTTACGGTTCCCGTGGGATTCATTAATTTAGTTTTTTAATGTTCACTCGATCATTCTGCAACGGTTCAACATATCTTATTGAAATTTGGCACAGATATAAAACAAAGTCTGGAGTACACATGAGATAAGCTTCATCCCAGAGAAATGTCCGGTTCCCGAGGGATACGTAGCTTTTTGTAATTTATACAGTTCGTATGTTTTTTAATACCACGCGGACGAAGTCGCGGGCAACAGCTCGTAATTCATACTAAATTAAAACAGCTTACCTTACCTTTTTAAAAAGTGTCACTAATTAACTACCTACCTGTCCAATCTGTCGTGAACTAGAAACTCATTATCCAGCGATACTTGGGACAGACAACTGTTCCATAAATATTAAAATGACTTAAATGACAACAAAGACCAGTATTAAATAACTATTACCGTTACCTTGACAATCTTTGTTTGCTGTTCTTGGATTTTTGCACCTTTCTCAATACCAGTTAATTCCAATTTTGCTCACCCTTAAATAAAATATATACTAATATATACTATAGCATGTCATAAATGTAAGGTGTTTTGTTTCATCATCATCATCATCACCAGCTCACTATACGTCCCCACCGAGGGGCTCGGAGCCTACCCTAATAAGGGGTGACTAGGCCATAGTCAACCATGCTGGCCCAATGCGGGTTGGTTGACTTCACACATATATTTGAATTTCTTCGCCGCTATGTGCAGGTTGCATCACGATGTTTTCCTTCGATGTTTTGTTTAAAAGGGAATAATTCAAGAATATGGTGTGAGCTGACCTGCATAAAATGTTTGATTATATTAGTATATTGCAAATTATTTTACAGTACAAGCCGGGTTGCTACCACTGTGGTTACTGTAACATCCCATGCCAGTCATGGCCCGCTATGGAGTCTCACTTGCAGACTGCGGAACACAAGAACAGTAGGATCGCATCCCAATGGCGTTTGCAACAGTTGCTGCCAGAAGTTGCTAGAGAACGAGAACAGAAGCAGTTACAAGAAAAGTTCATGATGCATATGATGTTTGCTAATATGGGTAGATGGAATTATAATAGCGATAGTGATTAAATAACATCTAATAGGGAATATGCATGCATTTTTTTCTTTTTTTAAACGATTCTACTTGTTATAAAATAACCACAAAAAAATTGACGCAAAAATATTCAACCATTGAGCTAAAAATAATAAAATAAAATTACGACCATTTTCGAGCGAATAAAACGCGACCGGAGTTATCAATAGACAATTGACGTCAATGGTCTTATTCCATTCATAACATACGCTCAGATGTCACTTCGACGTAAAAAAACAACAAAGCTTCTCAAGGTCAAAAAGTCAAAAATCGATTCATTTCTATTATTTAATCACTTTATATTAAAAAAAATCTTTGCAGGAATGTTTTTATAGTAATAAAGTATACTTAAAAAAGTTTGGTACAATTTGGCGTCATATGCATATTGCCTATTTTCATTAGTCAAGCGGAAGAAGCATTTAAAATGTATCCATTTTAATAATAATTACTTTGTTGTAGGACTTTTCAGATATATTAGATGGAGCGTGTTTTAACTGTTTTTAATAATAATTGTGTTTGAAACAGGAAATGATATTGTAGCTTTGATAAAATTCAACTTATCGCATACTTCATCCGTACAGCAATTGATTGGTATTTATTAGAATAATTTCAGCAAATAAGTTGCTACAAAAAAGAAAAAATATTTTGTTCTGTTAAATATTGTATCATAATTTATAAGATCTGATTACTTTTAGAAATAATTTTAAGACTTGATCTCAAAAGTCTATAAGAACAAAAAAAAATGTGTTTTAAGTGGCCTGTAGTTATGTCATAACAATTATCGTTTCCCGATTTATAATCTTATTAAGTGTAAATTACTTAACCTTAGTATTAAAGCATTTTATAAACACTAAAGGTATTTTTACTATGCAACTGTATAAGTATCTTTAGTTATTGAAAAATTATTGTCAGGAGAAAAGTCAATTTTTTCATAATGTTTTTGAATGGTACACAAATAGTTACTCGAACGAAAGCATTACAAGAAAAATAAAAAAAAGTATAACAATATAATGGAAGTTAACAAAAGCTTTATTTTTTTTAGAATCAACTAAATTAAACGAATTGTTACTTTATTAATGGACTAGCTGTTCCCGTGCGGCTTCAACCACATGGAATTATGAAAATTTTATTGGTTACATTTGTCAAAAAATATCAATTGCAAATGTCAAAATGAAATGACATGATGACAACCATGGCAATCTAAATTTCTTGATGTTGGCAGCTTATAGTTGATGGTCCCTTTCCCACAATGGGTTTTTATTCAAGTTATTAATTAACACCTAAGTTTAATAGCGTGAAAATATATGGCCTCAAGCGTGAAGGACTTTTTATTAAAGAAAAAAAAATCTAAAACATGCTGTGATTGCTGACATCTTACGCCACAAAGAAGTGTGTGTTTACGCTTTATTATATTGGTATAGAAGTACAGATTAACGAAGTAATGTCCACCTTTGGCCACAAATATCCTATATTTCCTTATCATAGACCTTTTTAACACTTTAAATAAAAGCCTATACAATTTCTGAAGTGAAAAGTTAGACCGACTCATAGACATTTACAAAATAAAATATCTCATGTAACTCTGTCAATTCCTATATATATCTTACTGGGAAGAAGAACGAAGTAGGTACTATTAGATCGTACTGGTTTATTTTCCAGACATTACAAATATCTTGACGTCACAGAACATCGAACAAGAACGCTATGCAGGATACAATATTACATGCAGCGGGGCGCGGAGAGGGCATTCCGCAATGAAGGTCATCCAACAAGAAAGCCGTCGCCATGATGCAAGGGTTACTGCCCTCTTTAACGCTTGAAGTCTTATGGGAAAACTACTTCGAGTAAGACCATAATATAAAAACCTAGCCTAGATAAATGATTTATGACTCCCTTGATCGACGAGGGTTGCCAGCCGATTAACTAGAGGGGATGGGGGATAGTAGTAAAAATATTTTTTATAGCAAAGGGACTATCCCTTCAAACCCCCTATTTCTAAATGTTTTTTTTTTATTTACAATTTGATTAATTTTTTAATATTAATTTAATGAATCTGTACCTTAACAGATACTTCTAAATATTTTTATATTTTTTAATAAGTACCTATTATTAAAAAACGTTTATATTAAATACAATGAAAAAAATTGTTTAAGGACTTATGTAAGAAATATATCAGTATGTTAATAGATTTATAGTCTGCTACAAAAATAAATTTTACTCTATGGTTGCTAAAGTCTGCAATTCTACTCTTTAATAAATGACGCATTTCTGCTGTAAGTGGGGAATCCCCGTATTATCTTCTCTAGCTATTGCGTGATTGCGTGGTTTTCGATTTTATTCGCTTTGTAGCTTTGTAGTAAAATTGACTGGTTATTAAACTTATTTTTAAAATCGGTTCCTTCTATATATTAATCGCAATTTACGCGGTGGATTATTTGTGAAATGTGCTCAATTTTCGTGTGTTACAGAAGTTTTTTCAGTATGTATATTTATTATTATTGAACATTTTAATTTTTAAATTATCACAAAGCAAACATAGTAATGATTCGTAATGATAGCTAATAAAAGCAGGATTAAAAATTGCTCTAATGATGTTTTTTTTAATGGCATAATGTTGAAAATTGTTAATGTAGAGTTAATCATTATTGTCATATCGAGCGAGAGCATTTACATTTGATAATAGCGAAGGGCGAGTGACTTACCTCAGCATTTTGCTTGTAATTCATTTGTGTGTATAAAAAGATACTAAAACCAACACCAACGATTTTCTGACGCAATCTGCTGGAACTTATTTTGTAATCGTGTATTCGGCTTCCCTAGTAGCTTTTATATATATATTTTTTGGAAAATAGAATAGAATGTCATCGTTGAGTGCTAGCGGCGTGTTCAGCAGCTGCGTGGACTACTTCTGTCTGGTGTGCGAGTCTCGGCTCAGGGACGAAGCCGACGCCGCAGCGC